CCACCGTTTTTATCATTTTATTAGAGATGTGTCGTTATGAACTCATAACATCATCAGTCGAAAAATGAAATGAATGAACAAGCAAGACGAAAGGGTATATATATAGACAATACAAAGAGAGAGACAAGGACACAAATTAAAAGAAAACGTTTTCTTTTAATCATTAATTTTGAACTGCAGCAAAATACGAAATTTCTTAGAATGTGTCTTATCTACAATGTAATACCTAAATCAATTAGATTCAAACCATATAATATACAATTTGCACGAATACGGAAATATCAGGAGTTAGTTAGATCTATGCTATATGATCTCTTCAAAGAGCAACAAAAAGAAATTTCGTATTTTGTTGCAGTCTGTATTGTTTGAGTTTAATTCTTTCAAATTGTCTTACGCATTTAATAACATGTGTTCATTAGATGTATCATCTTTATTTACGAATGTGCCTTTAGAAAAGGCTATTAATATTGCTATAAAGAAAATTTAACAATTCCATGCCAAATTAACTGTAGATGATGACAACTTGAGAGAATTATTTTATTACTGTACAAAAAGAACTAATTTTATATTTAATAACGAGCACTATGATCACATAAATGGCGTGTCGATGGGCAGCCCGGTTGCCCCTATACTTGCACATTTATTTATGCGTGAACTTGAAGAGAATATTAAAAGTTTTAAAGGAAAAAAACTATCAATTTTTTATCGTTATGTTGATGATGTGTTTATGGTATTACATGAAACACAAAGAGATATTGCATTATTTGTGAGATTTATGAACAAACTAGAAAGTTCAATTAAATTCACAATAGAAATGCAAACAGATAATAAATTACCCTTTCTTGACGTCATGGCGGAGAGAAAAGATTCAGAATTAATTACATATGTTTACAGAAAACCCACTGACCCTGGTCTATATCTCAGATGGACAAGTAATTAACCCCGCAATTATAAAATTAATTTAATTAAATGCCTATGTTTTCGTGCAAAAATAATTTACTCATCGGACAGTCTATTTAAACAACAGTTAGAATATTACAAAAAGATTTTTATTGCGA